GAGAGAGAGAGAGAGAGAGAGAGAGAGAGAGAGAGAGAGAGAGAGAATCCGCTTCCGCGTGGACGTCGGGCGGCAGCCACGTAGCATCATTACTCAGCCGCCCGATCAGCCCCTCGCAGCGCCGGCAGACTTTTAGCACTACTCGAAAATTTCTCGGAAGCTAAAGCAGCTAGCTCTGGGCTGATGCTGCTCCTCCTGCAGGAGGACGTGCACTCGCATTAACGGGGTGCGCGCCTCCTGTAACGCCTGTAACGGCCTGCACTGGAGCTACTGGAAAACCCTAACTTTGCCTTCTTCATTTGGCAGGAATATTTCCCCGCATGTTTGTTCATCTTTACTGTTTGAGAATATTTTTTAAAAAATTGGTGAGACTTAGTTTTATGATGACGTACACACTCCTTGTGATATGGATTATTTCTGAATAAGCACTGGAATGCACACCGTAATACCAGATCACCTGAGTATGCATCGGTGTCAGGGGTGTAAAATCTTCAAAATACAATGGTAATGCTGTATGTATGCTCAAATTTTAATAGTATTCATACTATTATAACTGTATTATTACAATCCATATGGTACAAATAAATTAGTATTTTTGTTGTCAAGATTTCAAACTGCTGTTTGGAAACAAGTACTCGATGCATTGCTTTCTCGGTTTGGCGTGGAAAACGTCCACCCCGAGCGAGGCGCTGCCGCGCGGCGGGCGTGTTCACGACGGGAGGGTAAGGTCCCACGCCCGGCGGCGTTGCGACAGGAATGAGACATAAATCTGCGTGCATCGGTGACATGCCGGCGTCCTTGGGGCCGCCAAAAAGTTGTGCGCGCGAGAGAGCCGTGGAGCGGCTAGTGCGGTAGTGTGTGGCGGCGGGGGGCGTGCTGCACCCACACTGCATAACTCAACATCAGGGCGCCGCCGTGCCACGCCACGCCATGTACGGACCGTTTCGAGTTTGAGCCCGTGCTGTCTCATTAGAACGGGAGCAGCTCTGTGTGTGCGCTCGAGATGTCGCAATGCCCCCGGGTGTGCTCTTCTTTTCTTTGACGCGGTATACACGGATCGTGTGCCGTACGTCTCGTCGGTCTGGTCGCCCTCCCTGTGCGGTGCTACTGCGGCGCTGATTTAACGTTTCGTCACGGTGAAAGTGATGAGGACGATGCTAGTTAGCCTGATGACTGTTGTGTGTGTGTGTGTGTGTGTGTGTGTGTGTGCGCGTGTGCGAGGAGCTTTGAGTAATGCTTCTTATTGCGTTCTGTTTTTTTTTTCGTGTGTGTGTGTGATGGACCCACCTCCCAGGCATGTGTATGAGTGCGCGCGCGTTGCGAACATGTCGAGCAAGTAAATAAAATCAATTATCTGATGGGAGACGAGTGTCGGCTGGAAAAAAATTAATGATGGCTGAAATTGTACGCTGCCGGGGATGTATATGTTTTTTTTACTCTTCTCATAACCTTCTGCCCACTTAAACGACGCGACTTCTCTCTCTCTCTCTCTCTCTCTCTCTCTCTCTCTCTCTCTCTCTCTCTCTCTCTCTCTCTCTCTCTCTCTCTCTCTCTCTCTCTCTCTCTCTTTTAAATTTTGACTTTGCTACCTAAGCAAGCTTTTAAGCAAATGTTATAATGCCAATGTATGTAACCATTTTATGGTGTAAAATAAATCAAATCAAATCAAAAATCAAATCTCTCTCTCTCGCTCGCTCTCGCTCGCTCTCGCTTTCGCTCTCTCTCGTAGTCACTTGAAACGTTATATATTTCGAAGATGAGTATAGAGTAGAAATCGAAATCTTGTGCGTGCTGGCTCTATAGCTGACTCCCCCTCCTGCTCGAAGAGTTTGTTGTTGCGAAACAGGATCGCGCGAACTTGAACACGCTGCCTCATCGCCACTTTTGCGCTGGCACGTCGCTGCCAATCAGCCCGCCATCACTTGAGGGCAAAACTGTTGACCTTTGTCTGCGCCTTGTCAACCTTTTTTTTTTCTTGTTCTGTCCGCAGGTAGGAGAGAGACCCACATACCTTTTAACGGTCGGCGGTCGATTCACCCGAACTAGGCGCGCACCGGTCGGTGTTCTAGTAAGTAGCACTTATATTTCTCCCCCACAGCACGGGCTACGGAGGATTATAAAAAAGATAAAAAAAAACCTAAAAATAACTGCAGCCGTGTAGCGGGTAGTTATCCTACTTCTTTTATGTGTGATTAACGACTCATTAGCCTTCCCCCTTGTCCGTTATCATAGGATTAAACAGGCTTTATTGAATATCTGTCTTCTAAGAGCGGCCATTAGGACTCGTGGCACTCTAAAAAACGAACAGTAAAAAGTCAAGATTTTGGGGGATGTATTTTTTTTTTATTGCGCGACATATATGTGTTAACGATGTCAAAATACAGTGATTAATATACTGTACTGTCCCCTTAACTGAGCCGTCTACGTCTCCTAGGACCTAAATCTGAAATCAAGCATATAAATAAAAAAAAATTGTGGCAAGCAGCAGCAGCGGCCCCCCGCACTGCATTCGACCAGCGGCCGGCCAGAGAGTCGGCTGACGTTAGCGCAACCCTAACCTTTCCTAACCCCGTATACGTATGTCAGTTCCATTTTACGCCGCGCGAGATGGCGCGCTGTCGATGCCGGCGGCCGGACAGCTGAATGCGCGCCAACGTCACCCCCATATCGGCTCTAATTAATTAAGGACAGAAACTAATCGCTCTTGCTGCGGGGCAGTGCGGAGGAGGCTTATGTATATCAGCTGAGCGGATCGGCTCGGAGAGCTAGTCGTATAGCGGCAGAAAAGAAGCCAAGCAGCAGTGGAAAGGCGGCAATATCGTCCAAAAACTGTAAATAAAAAAAAATCTCTGCCGCGCTTGCTGCTATTATTTTCTTCCGTTGCTGCGGCGATGTAAATAGCGGAGCGGTTTCTGTCCCGGCTGTGGCTGTAATGTATGCATGCGTGTCCGCTGCTGTTGATGTTGTTGGGGGCGTTATTCGCAGAGCGGCACGCGCTGCCAATAACCGGGCGTGCCGATAATTGACGTGAATATGAACGCCGCCGGCCCCTTGCGGCCGTGGCGATGTGTGGCGTGGCGCGGGGTGTCGGGTTTCCGCTGTGTGTGTGTGTGTGTGTGTGTGTGTGTGTGTGTGTGTGTGTGTGTGGAAATATCCCCCAGCCCTTCCTGCCGTTGGCGCGGCCGATTTGAATTGGGGCGCGCGCGCGCGACGCGGCCTTATTGGCACGCGAAACAAAACACTCGGCGCCCGCGCGTCTGTAATTGCGTCAAGGAGAGGACGCGCTCTCTTGGCGCGATTGGCAATAAATTACCTTAATCGCCCCGAAGATGCCGGCGACAAAGAAGTCATAAAATTCTCGTGCAAAACGGCCGCGGCGGGCACCACCACGGCGGCGGCCCCTCCTCCTTAACTGGATGCCCCCCTCCCTCCTCCCCCCGGTCCGTCTGACCGCCGCCGGCGGGCAGGCTATCATTATTAGCACAGAATATTAGCCTCGCTTTATGGCTTTCTTGAAATTTTTCCAAGGACCCTGCAGTGTGTAAAATATGGTTTCGCTCGGCGGTGCTTGTGCAAGAGAGCAATACGGGGTGGAAGTGCATCAGTGTGCTTGTCGGTGGTGGTGGCCGTCGCGCTCGAGCTGTGGAGGTGTAGGAAAGCCCCTCTCGTTTTCATCTTAAACGTGTGAATGAATCATTTACATATATTTTAATTTGTAAGCAGTAGAGTTGAAACCGTTTATTTTTTTTACTGACGACACTGAAAAAGGAGTAAAACATTTTCCCCGACAGAAGAATTGTATGTCTCCCATTGCAGTCAGGCATACTTTTATTCCTAGCATAGTTGACGTATAAATTGCACCTCTAGGCATATCGTCCAGAAAGTGCGTCCGTTTTTTCCCCCCACAGATTCATTAGGCAAATTTCGGGAGCTAGGCGCCTGTGAGACTCGAGATAGGCCACCCCGCAGTACACGCATGCATTGCAGGCAAGATGTTGCCTACTTACAAGGCGCCATGAGGGCTGCTTATACGCTAAACTCTACGTTCGTAACGGCCAATGACACGTTCGTACTTTGTAGACGATCCCTTCTCCATTAGTGTCACACCCTGCTGTATAACACACTCGGTGTTCCCCGGATAAACACTTTTGCCGGGGCACACTGAAAAAAAAAGAATCATTGTTCCAACGACCGTCGTGTTCTTGTGGCCGGGTTGTTGGTCCAAAGACACGATGTTGCTAACCCTATGACAGCCGGTAGTTGTGCCACCGACCATGTCGTTGAGCCAGCAATCGTGGTCGTTGGAATAGCATCCTATGTTTCTGAAGCCATTCCAAGAACAAAATGTTGTTGGAGGAGCAACTCATGTCGTTTGTACAATGATTCTTTTTTTTTGCGTGCAGACCAGACGGACGGCGGCGGCGGGGCGCGGAGCCGAGTATACCAACCGCAGCGTTTTCCCGCCCTCTCTGCAGCTTGTTTGCCATAGTCCCAGGTGTGTCCACAGCTGCGGGCGAAACAAAGGCGGCAAGGCGCCGCCCCGCGTCCAGTGTAACGGCGGCCTTGAACGTGAAACGGGCTGGAGCGCGCTGGAATGCAAATCAAGACTTATTACCCAGCCGGTGACCACTTGACTTATACGCCGATCTCTATTCCTGTTCACGACGCTGCTTATCATGTAACCGCGCCGCGCCCGCCACGTCGTCCCGTTGTAGGGGGATGTCACCCCTAACTGGCTGCAATGGTGCACTGCGAACATTCGCAGCTGTGCTTGTAAAACAGAGTACAAATCAAAGCCCCAATAACTTCACATACGTGTTTATTTGTTTTGTTTTTTTGTTTCTTAATTTTGACAGTTTTGCGGTAAAATTTTATTAGTGTCTTTGTGCTGTTCAAAATTAATCAAGAGAGTCAGATTTTCGATTTCTTTATTTTGAAAAATATATGCATGTTGGTCTGAAAGCTCAACTGTGTACATCGTATGCTAATATATATGCAATCATTGATGATCACGATAAATTAGTGTACACTGATAACCAGCAATCATTAATGATCTTTTTTCATTGTTGGCTAATATTTCTTTTCAGACAGAATATATCACTCAGTAGTTCGTTTGGGAGCTCTCGTCACTAGGAATCTGGGAATGCTCTCCACTTTTCAATATCATCTGTCTCAAAGGAAATATTAGCCAAAAACCTAAACGTGATCATCAATGATTGCTAATTCATCCACATACAATGTACACTGGTTGAGTTTTCAGAGTGAGAAATTCCTTTTCTCGCAAACACAGGATGCTTGTAGCATCGGACCCAAAAGTTTGCCACTACATTTGACTGATTTCAACCCCCCCAAAACCTCATATGATCTACGAGCGAGCGGTGCTGCTGCCCGTTGCCAAATGGGCTAAGCTTCGGCAGGCTTCGCCTGTCCTCTCAAAAGTGATAGGGCCGCTCGGGGCGGGGCGGGCGAGCCAGACTTAATTAACTTGGCTAAAGGCTCCACGGCCATGACCCTTCGGCACTGGCATTTCTTTCTCTCTCTCTCCCTCCGTCTCCCTCCTCCTCCCGCCGTCTACAAAGGCCTCTGCGCCATTGTCACTGGCAGGCGCATAGCTTCGGATTTATCTCGACGCGCTACTCCTGCTGCCACCGCGCGCGCTGGCTCCCTTCGCTTTTGTCACCCGGCGTGTGATTGTTTTGTCTACAGAGGTGGTGCTGCGTTTGTTATTGTTGCGGCACGTGTCCTTTTCTCGCCGACTATACCCTACGTATTTCTTATTAAAGTGTAACGTTGAATTTCGACGTTTGCAACGTAAACACAGCATTTTGGTTTTTAAGCATTTTTTGGGAAAACACCAAAACGGTCCCACTGCATACATTTCTTCCATAAAAGATACCTTGCTGCCTCCTGGAAACCAATACGTTGGTTTTACCGCATGTGCTAGATTTAACGAGTGACAGTATTTCAAAATACCGATCGGGTAAAAGCAATAACCGTATCGTTTTTTGAAGGGGGTAAAACAAGGTTAGCTTTGAAATAACGGCAATGCATTTTTCTTACCTCAAATGACATCCGGGCCGGCCCTCCAGCAGCCTCACCGTAGCGACAATGAAGAAAGCAGTACGTTATAATCCTCTCCTCTCGGTGGCCGGTGGCCCGGCGGGGGCGGCGGGCGTCTGGTGTGTTGCATGAGACTTCCCGCCCAATGCGAATCGGGAGCGGGCGTGACGCAGGCACGGTCTGCTGGCCGCGGGGTCCCCCGCGCGCCGAGAGGGGGTGGAGGAGGGGGTTCTCTGAGCCGCCGGCCGGCTGCAGCGCGCGCGCTCCGCCGTCTGATTTCTTTTCCATTCCTGTGCGATTCCTATTCACGTCTGACGCGTGGCGTGGCCGGGCGTGGCGGGGCGGGGCGTGGCGGTGGGGCTCGTGCTCCCGTCATTTGTTTGGAATCACACTCTCACTCGGACGGCGCCGCTTTGCGCGCGCCCCGTACTTTCGCGATCGCACATCACGTTATTACAATAATAGCCATCGCCCCCCCCCCCCTTTTTCACTCCCCGACATATGGCGCGGGGCGCGTGTCGTAACCTTTTTTAGCGCGTCAAAGAATATATACACACTACATGTCGCGTGTGTTAAAGTATATAAAACTGCCGGTTGTCGCTGCGTCGCGTCCCGCGCGCGCGAGTCTCACGTGACCCGCACGACCTGCTGCAGCATACGGCGTAGTTGCACTTCGCGCTGCTCGCGGCCCGAAAGGGAGAAAGTGTTTTATTCTTTCCCTCTTTTTTTTTTCTTACTCCTTGTAGAGTTTGTCCCCTTTGGTGAGGGCGCCGCGGCGATGGCTCTCCAGACACAATGAAAGGCTTGTGACTCACTGCTCCCCCCTTTGCGAAGGCTTTTGGCTGCTTTGGACCGGGGCGCTAAGGGTCTAACCTCGGTATTGTGCCTGAAAAATTGCTGCTTCAATTTTATCATTATTATTTATTTGTCCACTTCTGACGTGTGTTGGCTGGTAATATAATATTTATAACAACAAGCAACCGACTCCCGCTATTAGTTGAACGCACC